CACTCGCACACGCACTCGCACACACACACGCACTCACACGCACACACGCGCACACACACACACACACTCACGCGCACACACACTCACACACACACACTCACACGCGCGCACACACACTCACACACACACACTCACACGCACACACGCGCGCACACACACTCACACGCACACACTCACACACACACACACACACACACACTCACACGCGCACACGCGCACACACTCACACACACACACACTCACACGCACACGCGCACACGCACACTCACACTCACACACTCACACACACTCACACACACTCACACACACAGACACACACAGACACACACACACACACACACACACACACACACACACACACTAGTTTCCATGTTTTATGGGGACTCTCCATAGGCACAATAGTTCTTCTACTGTACAAACTGTATTTTCTATCCCCTTACCCTAAACCTACCCCTCACACAAAACACACTGCATTTATAAGGACATTTGGTCCCCGTAACGCAGTGAATACCAATACAGTTGGTTAAGTCATTTCAGTTATTTTGTTATTGTAAAGTAATTATGTGTAAGCTAACATTTGTAGCCTCAAGCTGACGCTGACTAATTCGTAAAATGAAGCCCTTGTTTTCTGCATTTATGATTCTGAAAGCCAACAGCACAGCACAACATTGTAAATACACCAAATAACATTTTACTTCGCGCCAGACTTTTAATAATGCCCCCACTTCCGTGTGTGACGTAAAATGTGATGGTAACAGAAATAGCATGTGCTTCCGCAGTCTTATTTAGGAATTGTTATAACCAAAAACGAGTCTACACGTTGTAATGATAATTTTATTCCAATTGTAGAAAAACCCTGTAAAAAACTTAAGCAGTGACTTCAGAGGAATATTTCTTTATTTCTTACTAAAGCTGAAGGTTTATCTATATTGGCGTATGCAGCTTTGGCTTTACATTTGGAAAATAAAATTTGTAAAATGATAGACAATAGACAAGTTTGGAGGAATCGTAGCCATTATATTAAGAAAACAGTTTTTTTTAACAACTACATTTTCTAGATTTCAGTACTGTAAATTACACCTTTAAAGGGATAGTTCACCCAAAAATGAAATTTGATGTTTGTGTGCTTACCCCCAGGGCATCCAAGATGTAGGTGACTTTGTTTCTTTAAAGTCAATTGGATGAAACACTTCTTAAAATGTCCCTCGTCGATTTGGAATTATATCCCTAATTATGTTTTTTTCACAACTGGGTGGCTTAAATTTTCTTTCTCTATGTAATTATAATATTGAAAAATTACCTGTTAAACTCTCAGCATTCCACAAGCAAATGCTTCTTGCTTGGTCTCTTATTTATAAACACAATTTCTCTCCAAACTTTTTTTTTATATGGAGCAATCGTAATATACTCTATAAAAACAAGTCTTTATTTTTTCAGAACTGGTATAATAATAAAATACTTTTAGTACGTGATCTTTTTAATGAAAGTGGTCTTCTGCTGTCATATTATCAGTTTTTACAGAAGTTTAACTTTCCTGCTTCACCCAAAGAATTTGCAATTGTCTTTGATGCTGTTCCTTCCAGAGTCATCACACTGTTTAAAGGTCTTGAACTCTATGTTCCTCTTTGTGATCCATTCCAAACAACAGCGGGTAAAGCTTGTCTCGCTCCACGTTCAAGTAACAACTGATTCGTGCTCTTTTTCAGAAAGGAGTCGTCTCCAAACCATATGTTATTGCCTATTGGAGTAATTTGATAAATATTGCAAACTGGAAAAAAGTTTGGCTTTTGCCACATAACTACCTTATTGTGAACAAAGTCAGAGAAGTATCTTTCAAATGAATCCACAGATTCTACAGATCTAGTGGATAGTTACCTTAAAAAATTCAAACCTGATATTGACACAATGTGCAACTTTTGTAATATACAAGATTAAACAATTGCACATTTATTTTGGTATTGTAATTATACTAAAGTATTTTGGAATAGTTTTTGCAAGTTTGTAATTGATTTTGTGTACTCTCAGTTTTCTTTGTTTTGGAAAGATGTTTTGTTTGGTTTTGTAAATACAGATAAAAATACTGAGAAAGAGTTTTATTTTATAAATCTATTACTGCTTCTAGCCAAATACCATATCCACAAATGTAAATTCTGCAACAATAAGCCGCATTTTGAGGTGTTTGTTAGAAGTTGCAACAATATTTTGAAACGCTCTCAGTATCGGAAAATACTAAGGCGAGGAAAACACTAACTTGTTGTGCTTTTTTCAGGATTCCCCTGTAAAATTATTACTTTGTATTTATTTATTTGCTTATTTATTCATACTTGATTTTATGTTATCTGTTTTATTATTATTATTATTTTGTATCACTTTATTTAGGTTATAATTGGGTTTTCTTTCCCCTGGCTGTTGTCTATGTTCCTTGTTATATTTCCTGATATTATGTTGTATTGTATTTACATTTGATATTGGTTAATTAATTTAAAAAAAAAGTGCTTCCTCAGTCACGACACACTCTTTTACGTCTTTCTAATATTATTTAATCAGTACTGTTTTGTGTTTCAAGATTCAGGTGGTGTTATATAAAAGCGAAAACGCCAAGGTCGAGGAAACTAAAGACGACTACAAAACTACAACTCCCATGATCGCTCGTGATGGTATAGCACTTCCGGTGCAGCTGCCTTCCTGCGCGCACGCACGGGACGGAAGGTGGGAGGGTTAAATATTTTAAAATTATACTTTTTACAATGAATCAAATTCACATTACAATTTAACGCTGTTGTTACAGAAATGTGGCGAATAAATAACTGCATCCATTAGTAAATTCAGTCATGCAATTAATTACTCTGTTTACAAAATCATTTGAAGTTTAAAATGAGGACGTTTCTAATTGTTTGACTTCTTAAGCGTCCAGCAGCTTTTACATGTCGTGTTTTTTCGTTGTGTTTTGTGTTTTCACACATCACGCTATTTCTCAATGTTGTGTAACTTGTGTCAACAGCTGCCACGCTGCTCCTCTGTTCTTATGTGGACATAAAGCTCTTGCTTATGCTTAACAAGTCTATCCCAAAATTATTACATGCTATATCTGATTCATCTGGAGCAGTTAAATACTCAGCAGCTGACCTGTATCACTGCCTATAGATATGTACGTTCCTAACAGATGAAAACCCGTTCAAATGTTAAAGTCTGTTCTGTTATGATATCTCATCAGTGCGAGATGGCCTCGGAGGTCACGTGGCCCTTCCCACAGTGCCCCCGCCTGGGCTGGAGAATATCCGGCAGAGTGGTCATGGGCATGGTGGGCTCATACAGCTACCTTTGGACCAGTGAGTCTGATGTCTCTCCACATCCACATTTTGAATAATGTGGACTAGTGTTGTAGTACTTGAGACCGGTCTTGGTCTTGAGACCATTTTTTGAAGTTCTTGTCTTAGTCTCGACTGCATTTGTCTTGGTTTTAGACTAAATCAGGGCTGTCCAAACTCGGTCCTGGAGGGCCGGTGTCCTGCAGAGTTTAGCTCCAACTCTAATTAAGCACACCTGAACCAGCTAATCAAGCTCTTTACTAGGCATAGGCTGTGTCTGAAATCGCCCCCTATACCCTCATTCACTATTCCCTATATTAGGTCACTAATTCAGTTCACTAGAAGGAGTGAATGAAAACGAGTAGTGAATTCGGACACTGAGTGCACCGGAAGGAATGCTGCTTTTGCATAGTTTGTGCTTGCTGTTTATTAATCATTTGAAACTAGCAAACTAGCAGCTCCAGTAGTAAGATTAAAGGATTCATCTTGAACTCTGTCACGGAAATTATGTATAAACCCTAATCAAACAATTTAATAATCAATTTACAATGAATGTATATCCGTGTTGTACACATTATGCTGTTTGCCATGGATGAGCGCTTTGTAAAAATGAACGGATTGATTATTCAGCTGCAGGCGCCATCTTCTGGCGAGATGCGGGAATTCATTCGGCGCGTGACTCTCGCGGTGCATTATGGGCATTCTCTAGCCGTTGAGCGTGCACCAGTTGTACACTCGTTTTTGCAGTGCATTGTGGGATTGAATGAGTGCACTCGAGAACGTCCAATATGGTTTCGGACACCACTAAAAATGGCTATTCCCTCAAATAGTGCCCTATTTAAGGGTATAGGGGGCGATTTCGGACACAGCCATAGAAACTTCCAGGCAGGTGTGTTAAACTCTGCAGGACACCGGCCCTCCAGGACCGAGTTTGGACAGTCCTGGACTAAATGGACTCAGGATTTTGTTTCAAGACCACAACTGTGGGGATATCACTAAATTGTCAATGCATTGTCTGATTTATTTGTTAACATAATTAATGATTGGATTTAAACTTCCTGCTTCAAATGCCATCAATAAATTATTTCTAATTGTATTTCTTTGGACACTGCTGTGCCCGGTAAGAACTTAATGGGGAATTGTCACAAATTTAAAATTAGAAATGGCCTAAAAACTTCAAAAAAGTACTTGTATGAGATCTATACAGTACAGTATTATAACAGATAATTAAGCAATAGGCCTCACAAGAGCAAGAGAGCTGTTTTCATAAATATGAGCATGATTGCAAACCATGATATTGATTTTATACAAATGTTCAACAAACAAGAAGTTAATGTTAACTGAATTACATTCGACCCTTTTTATTTATTTTTTTTGCTATTTCGGCAACGAAAATATTTCCAAACAAATCCATAGCACAAATGGGGCCCGTTCTTCGTACCTCACTTAACACATCTGAGATGATTTGAAAGCTGCCAGATCTTCTAATCCTGATAAATGATCGATCTCTGGCTAATTTGCTTCTTCAAACGAATTTGCAGATTTGATTAAAATATCTGGATAAAGTTGTGTAAGATTACTGCGTGTTCTCGTGTTCCCCGTAAAGGGCAGATGTATCGATACTCGAAACCACAATCAGCAATGCAGCGATTGGCTGGCGGCAAGAAAGCAACGTAATGACATCATATAATTAAAAAAGACACCTGACGAAACTTGACAAATTACTGGACCTTTATAAGGAAGCAGCCAAGCGAACAAAACTACATATTTGTTATAATAGATGAATGAAATGGGAAATTGTATTTATTTTATTTACATGATTCCCAATTATTTATATTCACGATTTCTTGTACAGGCTTTACATTTTTATTTCAATGTTGTAATTCGAGATTGATGTAATTTTATATTTGAAGCAGATTTGTTATGTGACCGCATTAATTAAAGTTTCTTTAGTATCTGCATCTCCTGCGCTCCATCAAGTCACTCCCATAGTAGCTGCCAGCACTCAAATTAATGCATGCCTCAGATTCACTGTATGTGTGTAAGACTCTAATACAATTATGCTGTGTCTATAATGTTATAGATTACACAACATTATAATATTATTTTTAAATGATTGTCCCTGGATTAGTAGAGTACTCTTGTAATGTGTACTATGAACTATGAAAGATGTAACCTATACCTAATTGATCTGATTCTGTAGATTATTTTAACTCTTTGGTGGTGCACAACCAGGATGTTTTGATGGACCTGGTTGATGAGCGTCCTCGGGACACGCCTCTTATCACAGTGTGCAATCACCAGTCCTGTATGGATGATCCACACATCTGGGGTAGGCAGAGCCTCAGATACCTGGTTTTGAGTTATAAAATCATGGCTCCAACAAAAAAATACACATTTAATATAACTGAGGTAACACATTTTAGAGTAGATTTGGCAGTAGATAATGTAAATGCATTTAAAGTGTTTGTGCACATTCTGATAACAGGAGTCCTGAAGCTCCGGCATCTGTGGAGCTTTAACAGGATGAGATGGTGAGTGAATGAAAGCAGAATCTGGAGACTCGTGTAAAAGTGTTTTGTCGCTTTATATCGTATCATATATTTGTTGTCTGTGTGTGCTCAGGACACCTGCTGCCTCTGACATCTGTTTCACAAGAGAACTGCACTCCAGCTTCTTCAGCAGAGGGAAATGTGTGCCTGTTGTTAGAGGTGAACTCATCTAATGCCACGCTTTTTCCCCATTTCCTCAGTCTGTTTTTTTTTTTTAATGATTAGACTAAATTAAACTAAATCAAACTGAATTTGATAAGGTTTTTACATTTTTTTTATTTTTTTTATTTTATTTAATCACTGTAGCTTAAACAGCAGAGCATATATATATATATATTGTGTGTGTGTGTGCGTGCGTGCGTGTGTGTTTTAAAGGGACACTTTATTGAATGCATTAAACTGTCCTATGTTTTTAGGAGATGGTGTATATCAGAAAGGAATGGATTTCCTCGTGGAAAGGCTGAATCAAGGGGAATGGGTTCACATATTTCCAGAGGGTACAGACAGCAGAGGACACTCATATTTTTAACATTTGTTTGTGGTACAAGTTAAAGGAAATATGGTACATTTCTCCTCCCAGGTAAAGTTAACATGACTGGAGAGTTCATGAGGATAAAATGGGGTAAGAGTTATGCTCCAATAATAAGATATAATTTGTTTTACCCTGTAAGTAAATCCTTCTATTCCTTGACAGGAATCGGGCGTTTGATTGCGGAGTGCACTCTTCACCCAATCATTTTACCCATGTGGCATATAGGTAAGTTATGCACGTTCAAATGACATAAGCTGTTACCATAGCACATAACTTCATGAATTAATATTTGAGCACTTGCTTATGTTCCATATTGTTTCAGGTATGAATAATGTTTTACCGAATCAAACACCATACATCCCTCGAGTAGGACAGGTCAATACATATTTTGCTTGTGTGATGTGTCATACCTGATATTTGTCAATGACACACTTACAGAACAGTTTTGACTCTGAGTGTACTTTTCTTTTGTGCAGCGAGTAACTGTTGTAGTTGGAAAGCCGTTCACAGTCAGACATCTGGTAAATGCCCTGAGAGCTGACAACACCGGTCCGGTAGGTGGTCATGTCAGCATGAGATGTGATGTCTTGAGTGTTTACAAAGATAATAATAATAATAGTAGTCTTCTTCGAGTAGTAGTAGTCTTACAGTATAGAGTACGACATTATTTTTCTCTACAGATGGAAATGCGGAAAACACTGACAGACTTTATTCAAGGGGAGTTCCTCAGTTTGAAAGCCCAGGCGGAGGCGCTTCATCACAGGATACGGAAACACTCGTGACCCATGGAGGGACGTTTTACAGGATAAAGGGCTATTCAGGACATTACCCATTAGCTAACCCGGGCCTTACAACTCAGCGTAGATACTGAGGAGAAACAATCATACAGATGACTACACCCAAAGAGGTTTACGGCATCCTTAAAATTATATCTGTGTGTGTCAGTTTGTTTATGTGTGGACAGTCAGACATGGGCTAAAGGAAAACATCTTTTGTTGTTGTAAATGGGTTACACCTACAGAGAAAGTAAATGCATTTTGAGCAGTGTGCAGGACCTCAGGAGATATCTTGTGTGCAAGTCAGTGACTGGAAATGCCTTGTAGACTGTGGAGCACGCCTTCATTCTCCCACAGGTTTTTTTTTTCTTTTCTTTTTTAATTGTACAAAATACTTGACCCATCAAAAAAGCATTAGTATTAAGAATGAAGTAACTCTTTTACATCCTAGCATGTCAGTGAGTCACTCTTTTTTTCTTTGTATTAAATTTCCTAAACATTTAACATGTTAAATTTGTATGCACAGGTGTCAAAGCTGGATCAGTGATTATCATGACAACAAAGCCAAATTCTTGATTTAATGTTGGACTGTTGAAGTATTTTTTTTTTTATTACAGATTGAGACATTTTAAATGGCAGATACTAATTGTTAGAGTTTTATATTTGATGCAGTATTTGACTGTAAACACAGAATACTTAATACAGAAATACTGTAAATACAGAAGCTGTACTCAATTATTTCTGGATGGGCCTATAGGCATTTGTGCCTATCCTACATGTAATTATTATTATTTGCCACGTCAACTGATGAAACGGACAGGATATGTAAAAATGTACTGATGTACTGTGATCTTTAAACAATATCATCAACATGATGGCATGAAAGACATTTGATCTGTTGTTCTTTAAAGAAGACACGGAGGACCTTTAGATTTCTGTCAAGAATATCTGTAGCCTATTGTATACAGTGGTGTGAAAAAGTGTTGGCCCCCTTCCTGATTTCTTATTTTTTTTGCATGTTTGTCACACTTTAATGTTTCAGATCATCAAACAAATTTAAATATTAGTCAAAGATAACACAAGTAAACACAACATGCAGTTTTTAAATGAAGGTTTTTATTATTAAGGGAAAACAAAATCCAAAACTACATGGCCCTGTGTGAAGAAGTGTTTGCCCCCCTGTTAAAACTGTGGGCTGTGGCATGACCTTAAAAAGGCGGTTCATGCTCGAAAACCCTCCAATGTGGCTGAATTACAACAATTTTGCATAGATGAGTGGACCAAAATTCCTCCACAGCGCTGTAACAGACTCATTGCAAGTTATCGCAAACGCTTGATTGCAGTTGTTGCTGCTAAGGGTGGCCCAACCAGTTATTAGGTTTAGGGGGCAAACTCTTTTTCACACAGGGCCATGTAGTTTTGGATTTTGTTTTCCCTTAATAATAAAAACCTTCATTTAAAAACTGCATGTTGTGTTCACTTGTGTTATCTTTTACTAATATTTAAATTTGTTTGATGATCTGAAACATTAAAGTGTGACAAACATGCAAAAAAAATAAGAAATCAGGAAATCTTTTTCACACCACTGTATATTTCTCCAATAATAAAAACATAATAATAACACTGTCCTGAACAGTAATCTGAATACAAGTCAAATAAACATTTGATTCACATTTTCACCATATTTGCGATACACACAATATACTTTGAAATCCAGTGATTGGAAGTTCAGTTCAGCAATAGTGAGGAGAGAGATTTTTTATTTAAATCGTTCATATGCCCGTTCACATTTTCATCACTTTCTATTTAACATTTAGTCGTTGTATGAACATGCCTTTTAACGGATTATATCAAATATGTTTTTACAAATGACAGCTTAGCAACTTTTTTTAAAAGGATTTTTCATTTTTAACAACAGATCAAATGTATATACATATTCAGTATAATCTTATATAAACATGGCCATCTATACATACAATTCTCTGGTAACGCTTTAGAATAGGGAACGCTTATCCACTATTAACTACGACTTTTTCCTCAATAAACTCCTAATTTGCTGCTTATTAATAGTTCGTAAGGTAGTTGTTAAGTTTAGGTATTGGGCAGGATTAGGGATGTAGAATAAGGCATTAATATGTGCTTAATTAGTACTAATAAATGGCTACTAATCTGGTAATATGCATGATAATAAGCAACTAGTTAAGAGACCCTAAAATAAAGTGTTACCAATTTTCTTTATCTAGCTGTACCAGCACCTGTCACCTAAAAATACATATATACATGTGAACCTATATTCAAAGATACCGAATATTGTAAATAATACAGAGCAATCACCCACCCACCTCTCCCCGTCTGCTTGATACGCACCGCATGGGGAAAACAGCTCAAACTAAATCAGTTATTGGTGAAATGGTCCTTGGATCTCATTCAGTTTGAGTCAGACTCTCCATGTCTCTTCTGCCTCCAGGTACCTTATGAATGGTTTCCATGTCTCAGCAAACTGATGTCTCTTGTTCTGTAAATGGAACCATATACTGTATGTTCTAAATGGAGTGTTTTTGTAAGTTCATTAAGCCAAAGCTGCAGTGTTATTTTGTCACTGCATTTTTTCTTAATGTTATACTTCATGACGTTACAAGACCAAAGGCGTATAGTTTCTAAATCCAACCAACTGCTAAAAATATGCAAGTGTGCAGAACATGGAACTTAAACGGAGAGAAGGATAAAATCCATAAATGTCACTTTTATTACAATTAATTTTGAAAACAGCACAGTAACAAATGACAGCAACAAGAAGCAAAATAAAACAGAAGACAGAAAGTGAAGGGTGGAACTGAAGGAATTAACTTATACAAAAAAGAACAACTAAAAGCAAGGAAAGAGTTACAAACGGATGGTGTTTAAAGCTTATTTGTCCATAGACAGTTTAATAATGCTCAAGTTCTTTCATAAAACTAAAAGAGGTCCGAGATATGAATATTTGGATCTGTGAAGCAAATTTGGAAGGTGAAGCAAAACTCAGTTTGCCAATCAAACAAATTAAGCGAAATCAGTCATAAAGAATTAAAGCAACAACAACAGTATGGAAAATTATTTTGGAGACATGGGAAACTGAAAATGACCTAAACATTTGTTATGAGAATAATACATTCAGAATTAAATAATTGACTGACTAACAGAATATTTTTGATCAAACCAACTCTGAAAATAATATAGATTTTTTTCCTATAAATATTACAATTATGCCAAGTAATACAAAAAATGGAAATACACTTTTATAAAGACACTAGAGTTGTATTCTTTCCTCAGGTAAGATCCTATCAGGAGACACCATAGAAAGAGAGGTCATTTCTGACACAATTTGCTAATTACATTTCATCCTCTAAAGATTTGAAAAGCTTACATTAAGGTTGTATCCAAAAATAAATAGCATGTGAAGACAGAAGCAAGATAACACAGAAAGCGTCTGAAAACTCTTCCGAAACAGGTGTTCTTTACTGCAAACCTGTCAGAGCTTTATTTTTCCACCGTGACCTTTAGAATTTCACATAGTAAGCAGTTACAGAATGTGATTGCTGAAAGAAAAGAAAATCAGTTTTAATCTGTTTAGGGAATAAAAATAAACTTTTCTCAGTAAACCTATTGATAAAGACATTATAGAAGAAGAACAAAGCAAATAGCTTTACAGCTTCATACGTCATTGATTCATCACGCCGAAGGTGCCCGGTTATGACGTCACGACTCATCTGCGCCGAAGGTGGCCGGTTATGACGTCACGACTCATCTGCGCCGAAGGTGGCCGGTTATGACGTCACGACTCATCTGCGCCGAAGGTGGCCGGTTATGACGTAACGACTCAGCTGCGCCCAAGATGGCTGCTCTGAGGAAGGTCTCCGGTTACACCGGGATGATTTTGTTTTGTTTTCTGTGTGCGATCGCGACAGCGAAAAGCGAGGAGCAAGTCCCTCTGGTCGCCTGGGCGAGTGATGGGTAAAGACTGGTAGTATATGAGTGTAGTCATGGAGATTTGATGGCGACAGTTAGCTTTGGCAGTTTGCTAGCTGAATGAGACGGTCGCTGTCCAGTCCTGAAAACCCGTGGAAACACTTCAGTATGAGCGTTAAACATTTAAATTCTCTGATAAGCCGCACATGTTTAGGGATCTAACTCTATATGCATCTACAAGCTTCAGAGTGTTTACTCCAGATAGGAGTGCTGCGCGGTGATGGCTATCTCGAAAGCTAGTGAACTGTCAAGGCAGCACTTCGGCCGCCAAGATGTTTACTAGAATCTGCGTTTGCGTGTTTGTCAAAGTTATACTCCTGATGGTCATGGTATGGGTTTGCCTTAGAATCATGATATGTGTTTTTCTAGACCTGTGCTCTTATAATGTGTTGTGTGTAGGTGTGCCTTGTCTCCTGTGAATGCTCCATCAGCGGGTCACACTGTGTCTGTGGAGGAGCTGGAGTCGCACCTGAACACAGCGCTGAGCACTGCACCGCGTAATCTGCTGCTCTTCCTGCAGGATAAAGTATGCACTATTCATAACAAACAGATTTATATCGTTTGCTTTAGTGTGCCAATGGGGAATTATTTGTGCAGCTCAACTGCTTTTTGTGGCACATCATTACTGTTTTGTCTTTCCCACAGAATTGAATGACTATAAGAATTGAACCCCAGGAGGGTGGCGATATTAGTGCAGGACACACACACTCACACACACACACACACACACACACACACACATGTATATATATATATATATATATATAACACAGCTGGACTCAAATGAAGGTGTAGAACCATCTCAAGGATGATCAGAAGAAATGGACAGCACCTGAGTTAAATATATGAGTGTAACAGCAAAGGGTCTGAATACTTAGGACCATGTGATATTTCAGTTTTTCTTTTTTAATAAATCTGCAAAAATGTCAACAATTCTGTGTTTTTCTGTCAATATGGGGTGCTGTGTGTACATTAATGAGGAAAAAAAAGTAACTTAAATGATTTTAGCAAATGGCTGCAATATAACAAAGAGTGAAAAATTTAAGGGGGTCTGAATACTTTCCGTACCCACTGTATATTCGTGAATGCATACTTATCATCAATATAAAAGACAAAAATACAAAAATAAATGAAAACAAAAGAAAGAAAATAAAGCGAAACAGACAGACAGCAATAGAGACAGAGAGAGATAGTATAATTATCACAATATCACAAATAGATGCACATTTCTAAATGAATTACTGCTAGCATTCCTGATGAGTTTTACTGAAGACAACAATCTGAAGTGCCATAAGGCTAGTTGAGGTAGTGCGAATCTTATTGTTTGAATTCTCTGTGTTTCATTCAGTTGAGTGTTGATGACTTCACATTGTATGGAGGAGTATTTGGAAACAAACAGGATAGTGTCTTCCAAAAGCTTGAGGTATGTTTTTGATGTCTTTTCCATCTGTCACTGCTTATGATACGTATTACTTCTTATGTTTTTGACTTTAGTTATCTTAAAGGAAGTTGTTAATAATATTAACTGAGATTTCAGTTTTTTTTACTTTGAAAAGTGCTTGTTAGCGCAAAGATTCAAAAGCAGCTCTCAGGTTTTGTTGATGTATGACTGTGGCATGTTCGCAGGCGGCTCTGCTGTCCTCCTCCTCCTTATGGTTGCCATCGGTATCATCGTCCGCC